CTGAGTCTGAACTGGAGGCAAAAAATTGGAAGAAAGGTGAAAAGCAGATCAAGAAAGACTCAAAAAAAGATGACAAGAAAAAGTCCGCCAAGAAGGATGCAGTGTCTACTGATGCTGATTCTGAATCTGAATGGGATTCAAAAAAGGGTAAAAAAGATGAAAAAAATTATAAGAGAAATTCAAAGAAAGATGACAGAAGTAAGTCTGTAATGAAGTCTGAAGAGTCTACTGAAACTGAATCTGATTGGGAGTCAAAGAAGGATAAGTATGATTCAAAGAAGGCTAACAAAGAGTCAAAAAAAGATGCCAAGAAACAGGATGCAAGGAAGAGTACAGAGTCTACTGATGCTGAATCTGATGAATCTTCCAAGAAAGACTCAAAGAAGACTAAGACAGTCAAAATTTCAGATGCTGAATCTGAAGACTCCTTATATAAACTGGAGGCTAAAAAGAAAGGAGTTGACGAATCAGATGCCACATCTACAGCTTCAAAGAAGGAAGCACTGGAACTGAAGAAAGAATTCAAAATTTCATCCAAAAAGACTACATTCAAAGAAAAAGGGGAAAAAATATGTACAGGCAGAGTCCCCCCATCAAGAGAAAGACCACCACTACCTCCTTGTGAGCCTATACTACCATTACCCAAGGTCAAACGTCTCTGTCAGTGCAAGATGCCTCCTCCAACTCTAAAGCCAAGATATGCGCCTTTGGTATGTTTACTGTGCTTTATTTTTATTTTTAAAAAATTTTTTTTCAACATTTATTTATTTTTGGGACAGAGAGAGACAGAGCATGAATGGGGGAGGGGCAGAGAGAGAGGGAGACACAGAATCGGAAACAGGCTCCAGGCTCTGAGCCATCAGCCCAGAGCCTGACGCGGGGCTTGAACTCACAGACCGCGAGATCGTGACCTGGCTGAAGTCGGACGCATAACCGACTGCGCCACCCAGGCGCCCCTATTTTTAGAAAAAAATGACTATAATGAAAAACATTTTAAAGGTTTGAATTTATATTTTCCTTAAGAATATTTCAGTTTTATTGGAATATTGACAAGTTAGGGACTAACACATAAGATAGTACTTCAAAAGAATTCAAAAGAGTTGAAAAACAAGTGTCAAAAAGTTAATAATATTTAGACTGGAACAGAGAACTGGCTTGTAATTTAAGGAAACATTTAAAAGTATTTGTAAAGAGAACACTACAAGAGTGGTTAAGTGTCCTATTCTTAAGAAGGAATAAAAAATTAAAATTGACTAAAACTTCTACAGTGGCAAATTTTAATGAGGTATGAAGACATTTCCTAGGAAGTTGCTAAATATCAATCAAAATCCAGAGATAGCAGGGTAAAAATGTAACATACAAGGATTCAAATATGCAATTAAATTATTTAATCTATATCTGAAATAAATTTATTTATAATTCATCATTCTTACTACTAATCAGAAAAAAAGTTAACTTGCTAGAAGTAACTAGATCCCTCTGGTTTATAACAGTCTCTTTCAGGTTAATTCCCTCTTTAGGGGAGTAAATGCCCTGTAAATTTAATTTCTTTTCTCTCCTCCAGGAGATCTCCTCTTCCATTCCCCTGCCTCCAAAATCTTGCTGTAAATGGAAGCTTAATTAGACATCTCAGTTTGAATGTAGGGTCTCCTGTTCCCCATGTTGTCCACTATGCTGGCTCTCTCTAATCTTTGGTTGGGGTGTAATTTATTTGCATGGTTTCTGGGCATCAATCTGTGTGCTCTGCTTCCACATAATGTTTATTGTCAATTCTCTTCATGATAGGGCTTATGTTCTCTGTCCTGCTAAATTCAGAACACCTGTAGATATTGCTGAGTCTTAACCTTGAGCTTCTTGTGTTAAATTCTTGCATTAATTAAAATTTCCCTTCCTCCTCTTCCTCCCTGTTTTCCTATTCTTATTTCGTCTCAAATATTCCTCCTCTAATCTTGTGGGGATTTCCCTTTACATTTCATTCCAAGTTTTTTCTATCCTTGGTTTCTAATAAAATTTTATGTATAGATCTCCATTTTTATCTTCCTATATTTTCCTATTTTTATTTAGAAATCTTAAAAAAAAAAACTCTGTCAAAAATCCTGGACTTTAAGTCCATTTTTTTTCCAAGCAGACTCAAAAAGTCAGCTTTGAGACTTGAAACTAATTCACGACTTCTTTGTTAAAGGATAAGTCTTGGAGGTTGAATCAATGGATGAGTGGCCACTAGCGCAACAAGATTTACAAGAAATAAGAATGTATTGGTGTATAAATTTTAATGCAAATAAAAAAAAAGACCTTCAAGTAGCTGGATTATTTTCCATTAGATTTTTTTTAATGAAAAATAAGTAAAATACAAGAAATCCAGTTGGGGACATGGATTGATTTTAATTGTAGAAGAAAACCTTTCAGGGTGTGTTATGGGCTTGTATACATTCAGACTGTCGCTTTAATAAACTTCCATGTGCATAGCTACCATTTAATTAGGCTCTTCCATCTCTATCACTTTACTGAAACTGCTTTTTCCAAGATTGCCATATATATGCCTGTGGCCACAGCCACTGGTTTCTCCTCTCTCATCTTACCAACAGCATTTAAAATAGCCTCTCTCTCTTCCTAAAAAAAAAATGCATTTTACTTCTAGGACTCAACTGTCATGTTTTCTTTCTACTTGTAGTTTTTGCCACCCTTATTGTAACCCCCTCTTCCTCATCTTTGATGTTGCAATGACCTAAGACTTGGTTCCTGACCTTTTATATCTACAACCTTTCTTTGGTAAACTCATCTAATCCAATGGCTTTAAATATCATCTATGTTTTAATTACTTCAAAATTAATACGTCTAGCTTGATCTTTCCATTGAGGAACCAATTCTTATATCTAAGCACCTACCTGAAATTTTTAGCATGAATTCTACTAGGCACCTCAAATGTAACATATCTTAACAACTCTCAACCCATTCCAAAACCTATACCTCCCCAGCCTTCTCCATCTTAGTAATGGTGCTGCCATCCACTCATTTTCTCTTTTAAAATCTGTATATCATCTATGATTCATCCATTTCCTCACTCACACATGTGATCAATCAATAAAATTTCTGTACTTTAGCTCCAAAATATATCCTGAATCAGTCCACTTCTCTGCATCTCAATTACTACTACTTTAATAGTTTCCATCATCATCTTTCTTGAAATTCTACAAAGGTTTCTAAGTAGTCTTGTTATCTCTATTCTCTACTGCTTCAAACACTTACCCTGGTTTTCAATGCCTACATTATCTAGACCCTACCTATTTTCCACCCTCATTTTGTATCATGTTTCCCCTTTTATTATATAATTTAGCCAAGCTAGCATGTGTTGTTTGATTCTTATACACACCAAGATTCTTTTCTTGCCAGGGATTTATGTATTTATGTATTTATTTAATGTTATTATAGAGAGATATGGGTTTAGAGTCATTGTGATGTCTGTAGGTTTCATGCTTGTAGTGATGTCTCTGGTACTTTATCTCACAGGATCCCCCTTAGGATCTCTTGTAGGGCTGGTTTAGTGGTGATGAATTCCTTCAGTTTTTGTTTGTTTGGGAAGACCTTTATCTCTCCTTTTATTCTAAATGACAGACTTGCTGGATAAGGATTCTCAGCTGCATATTTTTTCTGTTCATCGCATGGAAGATCTCCTGCCATTCGTTTCTGGCCTGCCAAGTTTCAGTAGAGAGATCAGTCACGAGTCTTATAGGTATCCCTTTATATGTTAGAGCACGTTTATCTCTAGCTGCTTTCAGAATTTTCTCTTTATCCTTGTATTTTGCCAGTTTCACTGTGACATGTTGTGCAGAAGATCAATTCAAGTTACGTCTGAAGGGAGTTCTCTGTTCCTCTTGGATTTCAATGCCTTTTTCCTTCCCCAGATCCAGGAAGTTCCCAGCTATTATTTCTTCAAGTACACCTTCAGCACCTTTCCCTCTTTCTTCCTCCTTTGGAATACCAATTATGCGTAGATTATTTCTCTTTAGTGCATCACTTAGTTCTCTAATTTTCCCCTCATACTCCTGGATTTTTTTATCTCTCTTTTTCTCATCTTCTTCTTTTTCCATAATTTTATCTTCTAGTTCACCTATTCTCCCCTCTGCCTCTTCAATCCAGGCCATAGTTGTCTCCATTTTATTTTGCAGTTCATTGATAGCATTTTTTATCTCCTCCTAGCTGTTCCTTAGTCCCTTGATCTCTGTATCAAGAGATTCTCTGCTGTCCTTTATACTGTTTTCAAGCCCAGCGGTTAATTTTATGACTATTATACTAAATTCACTTTCTGTCATATTGTTTAAATCATTTTTGATCAGTTCGTTAGCTGTTGTTATTTCCTGGATGTTTTTCTGAGGGGAATTCTTCTGTTTGGTCATTTTGGATAGTCCCTGGAGTGGTGCGGGACTGCAGGACACTTCCCCTGTGCTGTCTTGAATAACTTGCGTTGGTGGGCGGGGCCGCAGTCCGACCTGATGTCTTCCCCCAGCCCACCGCTGGGGCCACAGTCAGACTGGTGTGTGACTTCTCTTCCCCTCTCCTAGGGGCGGGATTCACTGTGGGGTGGCGTGGCCCATCTGTGTTACTTGCATGCTGCCAGGCTTGTGGTGCTGGGGATCTGGTGTATTAGCTGGGGCAGATCGGCAAGGTGCACAGGGGTGGGAGGGGCAGGCTCAGCTCGCTTTTCCTTCGGAGATCCACTTCAGGAGGGGTCCTGCGGCACCTGGAGGGAGTCAGACCCGCCAGAGTGATGGATCCGTAGAAGCACAGCATTGGGTGTTTGCACGGAGCAAGCAAGTTCCCTGGCAGGAACTGGTTCCCTTTGGGATTTTGGCTGGGGGATGGGTGAGGGAGATGGCGCTGGCGAGCGCCTTTGTTCCCCGCCAAGCTGAGCTCTGTCGTCCAGGGCTCAACAACTCTCCCTCCCTTGTCCTCCAGCCCTCCCGCTCTCAGAGCAGAGATGTTAGCTTATAACCTTCCAGATGTCAAGTCCCGCTTGCTGTCAGAACACACTCCATCCGGCCCCTCCGCTTTTGCAGCCAGACTCTGGGGCTCTGCTTGGCTGGCAGGCCGCCCATCCGCACCGGCTCCCTCCCACCAGTCCCTGGAGCGCGCACCGCCTCTCTGCTCTTCCTACCCTCTTCCGTGGGCCTCTTGTCTGCGCTTGGCTCTGGAGACTCCGTTCTGATAGTCTTTTGGCGGTTTTCTGGGTTATTTAGGCAGGCGTAGGTGGAATCTAAATGATCAGCAGGACGCGTGGTGAGGCCAGTGTCCTCCTACGCCGCCATCTTCCCCAAGAGCTGTATCCACCATTCCAAAAGCAGCATGTGAGATATATTTTGTTGGTTAAGAACATGGTTTCTCTAAAGAGCTGCAGACCATATGACACTAATGGACTTTCTGACATCTGTTTTTCCAAGCATTTCTACTCACACAAAATGAACAAATAATAAGACATATTTTTTAAAAGAGTGTGGGGAGTCACAAAAGGGAATTGTGCATTCTAAGTGGAAGTCACAAAAGGATACATATATATTTTTTTCTCATTTTTATCCAGGGAATTTATAAACAAACTGTTAATAAGCCTTAGGTCTGTTTTAGTATGGGCTCAATGAATTATACTACTGTTCATAATTATCATAATGGACATAATAAGGGCTAAAGCCATGTTTCAAGATCACCTCTGTTTATATTC